AGAATTTTTTCAGTATTGAGTGAAACCAGAGATTCACAGGTTGGAGACCCTCTAAGTTCACAGTCTGATTCATGGAAGTGGAAAAAAGGCGAGTCTGCAAAAACAAACATTTTAAATTACTGCCAGGTGGTTTACTAGGAATTTTACATTTCAGTAGGGGTGTTAAATGTGATACCAGATCACCTGTCCTCATGCCAATCCTACATTTTAGCAATCTCTCCACTGAACATCATTAAGAATATTCATATGCTGTTATTGCTCTGTACATAATGATTGGCTGGGAGTGAGGGCAGATAGTGCAATACCTGACAGTCTCATATAAAGCACAGGGGTGATTGGTGCCTCCTGAGTCGGGGGGAGGGCAGTTTGGGGGCAGGCCAAAAGCCCCATATCTACTCCTATACTTCTGTGCCGCAGCTTAGTACTCCCCACCCACCCAACACGCCACCAGCCCGCATGTCAAAAAAACTGCCCTGTCCTGAGTGGTGCTGAGTCAGGGGCCAATCTCAGGGGGTGCATGTGCCCCCTGCCATGCCCCTCCTACCAGTCTCCTGTGTAAAACTGTTTTACTACTCCTCCTATTGTCTTCACTAGTACATGTACACAAAAATAAAAAGCCATACTTTACTCCCCTTTCTCAGTATTAAGTGGAAGCAAGAGGGACAAAACATGTAGAAGGAAAAGAAAAAAAGGGAGGAACTTTCAAAGTATATGGGAAGAGCAGAAGTACAACACCACAGCTGGGCGCCCAGAGTAGCTCCGATACACACAGCACAGCTTCCAGTTACATAGCTGCAGCAGCAGCAGTTCCCTTTCCCTCCTCCTCGCCCCCCCACCCCAAGTCAGCACCTGGGACAACTGCCCCGGTCATCCCACCCTAGCTATATCACTGCTGATCTGATTCACAAATGGCAATATGTTTTGGTTTGAGACTATTTGGCCCTGGCTCCTTGGCAGGTGACTAAGAACACTGTGCAATCTCATCTCATAACAGGGAAACCCAGAGTAATTCAGCCCTTGTGTAGAGATCATTTCTGATCAGCATACCAGCAAGTATGGTACAAGACTTCAAAAGGACAAGAGAGGAAGATTAAGGAAAGAAAAGAAAACATGGTAAAAATAAGGGATGGCATACAAACATAAGAAAAGCAACACTATACCACAGTGAAAATTCTACAACTCTAACAGGAATAGGAATCCAAAAATAGGACAACTGAACAACTGTATGTAAATGTGGTGAAGGAAAGGAGTTTGAAGAAAAGGGAAGAGAAAGTAGAACTGCCTAACTGTAGATGTCAATTAATACAAAGCATAATATAGTTTTAATCACGACAGTTAGCAGGAGTGATAGGCAAAAAATTATGAACTAATAATCTCCACCGTTTTGAAAGACTGAAGAAGGGAAACGAGAAAAGAAGGGATAAGATGGCATCTTCACATCAGCAAGAAACAAAATTAACCCCCTTTCTTATGTACTGTAAAGTGCAGGAATTTAAAGGCATCAGTGAAAATGCAAAAAAAAAATCTGTTGAAATAAATTTGCAACAAGGGGGCTTTAAGTTGTTGCTTGTCCTTGTTAATACATCTAGTAAGAACTGCGTTTGTGTTATGCATCTTGGTTATACGAGGCAAACAGAAGTGGTATACAGCTAGGTAATTCCCCATTTCTGCTTAAGAATGAATTGAAGATGGATTAAAAGGAAATCTATTTATAAAGCATAAGTTGAAAAAGACTTTAACATGCAGTTTCTATAAACAGAAAAAGATCAGGTTCTAAGTCAGCCACAGCAAAGTTAGCAGGAGGCTCTCAAAATACCACTAAGAAGTACAAGATTCATAGATTTTTAAGGCTAGAAGGGACAACGATGTTTCAATTTCACCTTGTACTTCAAAAAAAAAAAAAAAAAAAAAAAAAAGCCATAGTTTGTTTACCTTCTAATTCTTGCATCATTCACAATCTGCCTGAAGAGGCAAAGGGGTAACCACATTACACCAGAAGTATTTACTATGCAAATAAGCAACACTGCAGCTACTAGAAGTTGGATGACAGTTCTTTGGATGAAGATATCAGGCATGAACAAAGCAAAAGTCACAGATACTACCTGCTACAAATCACAGGGTAGAGAGAGAAAAAAGGACATTTAAAAATCCTGGTCTGACTCTCAAGATTCTTAGAACTACCAGGCTACAATACTCCTGGGGAACTTCACTACTATATCTGTACTTTAATAAACACAGCCAAACTTGCTTCAAATTGTTGCCTAGGTTAAGCAGATGACAACGTTATGAAACAAAAGTAGAGAATCCAACCAGAGGAGAAGTCATCCTGGACCTACAATATAGAGAGGAATTGACTGAGAATGAAAACAATTAGGGTAGGTTGAGAAAACAAGATTCTCTTTAGCCTTTTGACAGTTTTTCCACTATTGATGCCTGTAACCAGGGCCGTCGAGGGGCAGGTGGAGGGGGGAAATCAGGGCAAACGCCCCAGGCCCTACACCTTGAGGGGTCCCCACGGTCAGTGCAGCATAGGCCCCGCCACAGCCACCACTGCCAAGTGCCACCGGCTCTGCCGACTCTGGCCACTCGCCACCTCACTTGCTGCTCCAGGCCCTGCACAGGCTGATGTGCCCCAAGGCCCCCAACTCCTAGGGACAGTTCTGCCTGTAACTGTAGGATTTATTAACAGCTGGGAAACATACTAGTGTGCAGGTATTTTAGAATATGCTCAGACATCATTCTGTAGTTTGGTTAGTAAAAAAAAATTAAAAAAAAAAAATCAAAAAAAAATCACTATATTATTTCCATCATAAGGTAGAAAGGCCTTCTATTTTTGTTAGTTAACCCTTAACTATCATTTTTACACTTTCTGTTTTATACAGTGTTTTTCCTACAAGCTACCTCCAACCAGTCACTAAATCAGCATCTTCCAAACACATCTTCCTCCAAAGAATCCTAAGCAAGTCTGCCACCATTCAAGCACTGATAATGGCGGGGGAGGAACAGACAGAAATGGCAGATCCTTCAGGTAACTGCCTGGTTCCAGGTTTACATGTTCCTAAGTACAGCTGCAGCCCCATGACAAAGACAGCAATAAGGATAATCTGTTGTGGCTCGACCTGCCTCGTATCATAGAATCATAGAAAAAGAGGGCTGGAAGGGACCTCAAGAGGTCCCCTAGTCCAGTGCTTCTCAATCTGTGGGTCACAAGAATATATGAAAGGGTCGCAAACAAATTTTAAAAGCAGATTCTCCTTTAAAGAAGTAAAACATGGGAAACTGGGGCTTTTCCCTTGCACGCTGGCAGAGTTCCAGCCTTTGAAGGCTGCTTGGGGCCCCCCACTGCCCCACACACTGTGGGGCTGGGACCTGGGGGCAGTGGGTTGGGAGTGAGGGGCACTGCATCAGGTTTGGCCACTGATGTTTGCAAATGAGTCCCAGTACAAAAAAGGTTGAGAATCACTGCCCTAGTCCAACCCCGGCTCAATGCAGGTCCATCCCCAACAACATCATCTGAACCATGAAAATCGCACAGAACCCCCCTAGCAGTTGCCATCCAGCAGCCAAAGTAAAACAGCAGAAGCAATGGGAAGCTAGGATCACTGAAAAGAAAAACTTTTAGTGGGGTTTGAGTGATATAGGGCTGGGACTCTTGTGCTGTGGGAATTCCCACCTCTGCTTGCTTTGGCTCACCTGCCTCAGCTGCAAATAGACAGAAACACAAAAGCCTGGCTAAACTGAAAGAGGCCAGCTAATATTCTACTGGGTTGGAAAGGACCTCAGGAGACCACCCAGTCCAGGGATGGCCAACGCATAGCTCCGGAGCCACATATGGCTCTTCAGAAGTTAATATGCATCTCCTTGAATCTTTGCACAAGCACACGGTGGCCAACTTCCACAGCCGTTACATCATGTCATGCAACTGCTCGCGGCGAGCACATTACTTAGTTTGCACTCGGCTGTTTGGACTCTGGAGCCACGGGTTGGCCGCCCCAATCTAGTCCAACCATCCCCATCCCCAACTAGACCAACCCAGGACTAGATAAACCATTCCAGCAATCCCAGCATCCCAGAACCATTCCCAACTAAATCTTCCCAGCCAAAGCTTTGTCTACCTGGGTCTTAAAAACCTCCAAGGATGGAGACCCACAACTTCTCTGGGCAACCTGTTCCAGTGCTTTACTACACTGCTTGCGAGACAGTTTTCCCTAATTTATGACCTAAACTTTCCTTGCTGCAACCTGAGCCCATTGCTCCTTGCTCTGTCACCTGCCCCCACTGAGAATGGTGCACCTCCACCCTCTCTGGAGCCTTGGGGCAGCTCTTCCCTCCCTCACTGCAGTGAGGGGCAGCTTCTCGCACTGGCCCAGGCCAGCGTGTGTGTGTGTGGGGGGGGGGTGGTACGTATGTGTCCCTGAGTGTTTGCATGCCTGAGTGGGGGGAGGTCCGTGGGAGTGTGTATTGGATGCATATGTGCCTGTGTGTGTCTAGGGGGCGCGTAGCTGAGGAGCGGCCGGGCAGCCCCAAGCGCGCTGCTCCAGGCCCGGGGATCGCCAGGGGAGAAGTGCGCCCGTATCCCCGCCCCGGCCCGGCCCCGCTCACCGCCACCCTCGGC